GAGTCAAGTCATTTGGGTTGGCTCACTAGTTACGTATATTCACAAAAAAACTGCAACAGGATTCATTATACGCGACCACAATTTTACGATGACACACTATTGTATATATAAACAAACGATAATGTATGTATTAACAAAACAAAGGTATAGAATATTGTTGCGTGTTACAAAACAATGAATATGAATGAAGAAGACATTTAAAGACTAAAGGATGTGTTTGTGCGTATAAAATGTGTGTAAAAAAAAGACTGAGTGAAAGGTGTTACATTGAAGGACGTGAAGAGAAAGGTGCTGGCGTGCGTGCCTGTGTGTGCATCCCCCAGTGGGAGATGCATTCTCCACATTCAACCCACATCTTACGGTTTACATGACTAATAGAAATAAAGAGGATGACAGAGAATTTCACTGTTTATTTATAGGCTTAGGGAGCGTCCTCTAGCGGCGGTTCTTTTTAGGAAAGTAAGTGGAGATAACCCGACACCTCTTGCATATGTATAGAAAATGAGTTCAGTAAATATAGAAAAATAGAAAGGGGTGTAAGACAAATATGTCTTATCACCAGATTTATTCAAACTATGCAGTGATGGGATTCTGAGAGAATTAGAAGTCCTACCAGGATTCATTATTCGCGGTCACAATCTTAAGATGACACACTATTGATAGCAGACACAGAAAGGAAACTACAAAAACTCCTACAGAAGGTAGTGAAAGAAAGCGAGAAGAAAGGACTAAACATTAATTACAAGAAGATAGACTGCATGGTTCGTTAGCAAAAGGGACAGCCCAGCATGCAAATTACAAATTGGGGATACCAAAATTAAACAAGTACAAAAATTTATATGTCTGGAAAGTGTTTTAACAGAGGATAGAAAGTGCAAGAAGATAGAATTCATGGTTATTAGCGAAAGGGAGAGCCCAGCACAGATTACAAATTGAAGACATCAAGATCGAACAAATACAACAATTTAATATCAGGGAAGCGTTTTAACAGAGATCGGAAATCCGAAAAAAGCATTGACATAGCGAAAGATGCCATTCAAAAGCTAAGCAAAGTACTAAGAAACAGGAAAATTTCATTAGAAACAAAGAAGAATACTGAACAGTTACATAATATCAATCTTCTTATATGGCAGTGGATGCTGGAAAATCTCCTCAGATGATGAAGAAACTTTAGGGAACAGAAATGCGGTCCTACAGAAGCATGCTGAGAATGCCATGGGCCGAACATGTGAGCAACGACGAAGTTCTAGAGACAATGGCAGCAAAAAGGACACTTATGCTTAACATCAGGGGCATATAATGAGAAAAGAGGGTTTGGAAAATTTGATACTCACAGGACAGATTAAAGGCAAAAGGAAAAACATTGCATAACCTACTAAGTGGGCTTGAGTAAATGAATGGCGGAACAAGGTTTAGGAGGGATAACAAAAAGATAAAATGTATTAAGAACTACAAAGGAGTGGAAATTGTGGAGAGCCATGATCAGCAACGTCCTGAAGGGACACGGAACATAGAAGAAGAAGAAGAAGAAGAAGAAAAAATGACTTCGCGGTAAGACATGATAGGTTTTTTTTCCCACAGATAACTATTCAGTTGGAAATTGTGGAGGGCCATGATTTCCACCGTCCTGAAGGGATATGGTACAAAGAAGAAGAAGAAGAAGATTGAGTAAATGGATAGTGGAACAAGGTTTAGGAGTGATAACAAAGAGACAACATTCATTAAGAGCTGCAAAAGAAAGGAAATTGTGGAAAGCCATGATCACCAACGTCTTGAAGGGATATGGTACCTAAAAAAAGAACGGGCTTGAGAAAATGGATGGAGGAACAAGGTTTAGCAGAGATAAGAAAAAGACAAAAGACAATATTTAGTAAGAGCTATGAAAGACAGGAAATTGTGGAGAGCCATCATCGCTAACATCCTGAAAAGTCACGGTACGCAGAAGAAGAATGAGCTTGAATAAATGGATGGTGGGACAAGGTTTAGGGGAGATAACAAAAAGGCAACATATATTAAGAGCTATGAAGGAAAGGAAATTGTGGAGAGCCATGATCGCCAACGTACTGAAAGGACACGACACAGAAGAAGAAGAAGAAGAAGAGGAGGTGGAGGAGGAGACAGAAGAAGAAGAAGAGGAGGAGAAAGAAGAAGAAGAATTTTTCCCCACAGATAACTATTCAACGATACTATATTTCTACTGTTAAAGAGGATAATTTGGAATTATCTCCTTGTCATGTAGAGTCTTAATCCGTCTCTGTAATGTTGGATGCTAGAGAGTAGAATATTTTTTAATCCGACTTGATTAACCGGCGCTAACAAGTTAAAAAAAATAATTAGATATTCTCTGAGATTTTCATTTCCTTGATTTCAAATTAAACTTGTTAAAAAGCAGTAGCCTCTTATCTCCTCAGTTATTTTAATATTTTGCCTTAATGTTCTTTCGGAAGAACACCTTGATAACAGATCCGTCTGAAGTTATTATGCAAATCGCATGAACCTCGATATCACCATAGAAAGGTTTAAAATGAATATTTTAAAAAGGAAAACAAATTATTTTAGTTTTAATTTCAATTAAATAGATGAAATTTAATAGTTTGGTTTGTTTTATTTTACAGCATATCAACCTCAATGGGTTATTTAATGCCAACAAGATTATTTTATTGCTGGTAATAATTTTTTTTCAAAAATGTATTGGTGGTAATATTTTTTTTTTTAAAATGTATTGCTGGTAATAATTTTTTTTTTCAAAAATGTATTGCTGGTAATAATTTTTTTTCAAAAATGTATTGGTGGTAATATATTTTTTTTTTTTAAATGTATTGCTGGTAATAATTTTTTTTTTCAAAAATGTATTACTGGTAATAATTTTTTTCAAAAATGTATTGGTGGTAATATTTTTTTTTTTAAATGTATTGCTGGTAATAATTTTTTTTTCAAAAATGTATTGCTGGTAATATTTTTTTCCAAAATGTATTGCTGGTAATAATTTTTTTTTTTCAAAAATGTATTGCTGGTAATATTTTTTTTTTTTTTAAATTTATTGCTGGTAATAATTTTTTTTCAAAAATGTATTGCTGGTAATAATTTTTTTTTCAAAAATGTGTTGCTGGTAATATTTTTTTCCAAAATGTATTGCTGGTAATATATTTTTTTTAAAAATGTATTGCTGGTAATAATATTTTTTTTTAAAAATGTATTGCTGGTAATAATTTTTTTTTAAATGTATTGCTGGTAATAATTTTTTTTTCAAAAATGTATTGCTGGTAATATTTTTTTCCAAAATGTATTGCTGGTAATAATTTTTTTTTTCAAAAATGTATTGCTGGTAATAATTTTTTTAAAAAAAATGTATTGCTGGTAATAATTTTTTTTCAAAAATGTATTGCTGGTAATATTTTTTTTTAAAAAATGTATTGCTGGTAATAATTTAAAAAAAAAAAAATGTATTGCTGGTAAAATTTTTTTTCAAAAATATACTGCTGGTATTAAAACCGATTTTTACACTTTCATAGTGTTTTAACCCTAGTTTGGGGTTTAACTATTATAGCTGGGGTGCTACCACCCGGGGTCAGGGTGGGTCTAGGAACACCAGCAATTTAGAGGTGGTTTCACGCTCCTCAAAACCTCCAGATCAGAGGCCTTTCTGTTGAACGTAGTTTATCGTCTTACCCAGGATGCGGATTTAGTTAATCGTCATACCCAGGACGGGGTGATAAAACTTTTTTTTTATCATGGTATGCTCATTTTTAGCGAATCTGTAGAGGTACCGGGTATACCCGTATACATGTGTATTTGTGTGCATATGATCAGAGACCCTGATGTCGGATGTAGTTTATCGTCTTACCCAGTACTCAGATGTAGTTTATCGTCTTATCCAGGACGCGGATCTATTTTATCGTGTCACCCAGAACGCAGATGTAGTTCATCGTGTTACCCAGGACGCAGATGTAGTTCTTCGTCTTACCCAGGACGCGGATGTAGTTTATCGTGTTACCCAGAACGCGGATGTATTTTATCGTCTTACCCAGGACGCTGATGTAGTTTATAGTCTTACCCAGAACGCAGGTGTAATTTATCTTCTTACCCAGGACACGGATGTAGTTTTGGAGTTCATTAATTGGCCATAGCTAGTACCCTAACACGAGCTAACACTCAAGGTCATGTTGAACCTGGGAACAAGAGCAATTAAGAGGTGATTCCACGCTCCTCAAAACTCCCGATAGTTTACAGTGATACACAGAACGAGAACTCCTTAATACACTCTGTCTAACATTATAATATAATTATTATTGCCTCATGGAAACAGGGCAAGCAATAACCGAACAGTACTAAAAAGAGAACAAGACGAGATATCCTTAAACATGGACAGTGGAAGTAGAACAATCTACCCCTGTATATTAAATTATATTCTAATATAATTATTATTGCCTCATAGAAACAGGTCTAGCAATAACTGAACAGTACTAAAAAGAGAACAAGACGAGATATCCCTAAACATGGACAGTGGAAGTAGAACAATCTACCCCCGTAAATTAAATTATATTATAATATAATTATTATTGCCTTAACAGACACCTGAAGATGGCTGGTGATTAAATGGCCGAAACTTTGTGATTGTAACAAGGATGAGGTCGTCGAAACCTTTGTATTAAAAGCGGGGGAAAAAATGAAAAAGGTTTGTCAGGAAGCTGTATGGGTCTATGGAAATCTTTAATCTCTGAAAATCTTCTAAACTAATTAAGAAATAAAAAAGTAAAAAAAATCTCGCAAACGACAAAAGCTGAAGTTGTTTTTTTTTTTAATTGTTTCCCCTTTTTTGGCCAATCATTTATCCACGGGTGCCATATTCGGTCATCTTAATCCTATCAAGCTGAGGTCAAAGGGTAATCTAGGGGGTAGCTCTCTTACTGTCTCTTTTACTTTGGAAACCTTCACAGAGAAGCTTACTAAGTGTTCTTCCTATTTATTCTAAAATTAACAATGATAACACGTTCAACTTCATGCGTCCCATTTCTTCATTTCTGAGTAATGGGCGGGGGTTTGTCTTAAATGTTATTTCCAGCCAAATATAGGCTGTTTCTTTTGTCTATATTCTACGTAGAACGACTGGAGTGAATTTATCGTAGACACCCTTGTCTCCTTCGGCCAATTGAAAACTCAATTATAGTTCATTAACGGTCATCATCCCGAAACCTCTCCCCCCCGCCACTACACGTGTCGATTCGTTCCTCCCGCAAGCACAGTATCACAATTACACTCAATGTCGAGATTTGGCGTCATTGGTGAAAACGTTTTTTGGCTTAAGGGGATACAAATTCTTTTCAAGACAAAAAAGAAGGGTCCAGCCTCACATACGACCAAGGATTGAAAACAAATATAATAACTCCTCAAACTCACATTAATAGCACGGATGATGACAACCAAATATTATCGCTTCTCTGTTCTTCTCCCACCCTTTCCCTGTGTCTTCTCATTCTCTCCCTTATCCCTTCCAATATTATCCATTATCTCATGACACTGCTCTTCCCTCACCCTTTGCCTGTATCTTCTCAGTCTCTCCCTTATCCCTTCCAATACAACTCAGATGATCCGTTATCTCATGACACTGCTCTTCCCTCACCTTTTGCCTGTATCTTCTCATTCTCTCCCTTATCCCTTCCAAACAACTCAGATGATCCGTTATCTCATTACACTGCTCTTCCCTCACCCTTTGCCTGTATCTTCTCATTCTCTCCCTTATCCCTTTCCAATACAACTCAGATGATCCGTTATCGCATGACACTGCCTTTCCCTCACCGTTTGCCTGTATCTTCTCATTCTCTCCCTTATCCCTTCCAATACAACTAAGATGATCCGATATCTCATGACACTATTCTTCCCTCACACTTTGCCTGTGTCTTCTTATTCTCTCCCTTATCCCTTTCAATTCAATTAAGATAATCCGTTATCTCATGACTGCTCTTCCCTCACCGTTTGCTTGTATCTTCCCATTCTCTCCCTTATCCTTTCCAATACAACTAAGATGATCCGATATCTCATGACACTATTCTTCCCTCACCCTTTGCCTGTATCTTCTCATTCTCTCCCTTATCCCTTCCAATACAACTCAGATGATCCGTTATCTCATGACTGCTCTTCTCTCACCCTTTGCCTGTATCTTCTCATTCTCTCCCTTATCCCTTTTAATACAACATAACCATCCATTATCTCATGCCTTTTCTCTTCTATCGCTATTTGCCTGTATCTTCTTAATATCTCCCTTATCCCTTCTAATACAACTAAGATCCTCCATTACCTCATGCCTCTGCAATTCTATCACCCTTTGCCTGCATCTTCTCAATCGCTCCCATATCTTTTCCAGTGAAACGAAGATCATCAGTTATTGCATTCCTCTGTCATGGGGCGTATCGGAAATACTTTTACAATTTTTGGGGGCGCATTCCTCAGACCAAATCAAGGTCCATATAAACCTGTCCGCAAATCCTTCGTGTTTGAGTTAAATTATGAAATGTACATCCTGAGGTGCAATTCAAAAATACTTTGAAAATTTTTGGGAGCTGCTTTCTGACACTAAAACAAGGCAAAATGTTCATATAAATAAATATATCCAAAAGGCCATCGTTGTAAATCAACACAGCAACTTATAACAAATGTTCAAAATGTCCTCCGCTTGTTTCAACAGACGTATGCACCCGTCGGATCATTGACTGGTGGACCCTTTCAAATACTCCCTCACTGTGGTGAATGGTTTCACAACTCCACAGATTTAGGTGGGCTCCACAGATGAAAATCGAAAGGATTGAGGGCGGGGCAACATGCAGGCCATAGAACCAGTCATCTCCTACCTGTCCATCTTTCCATCTTTCCATCGTTCCATCTATTAAGCAATTTTTTTTGTCCAAATTGTGGTCAGTTCTCCTTAAAGTGAGCAACTAATGTGTCTGTGTTTTTAATGTCTTAAATTCTTTCAAATGTGTTTATATATATATATATATATATATATATATATATATATATATATATATATATATATATATATATATTAAAGATTTTTGTAGGTACAAAATTTAATGATCGAAAAAAAAAAGTATAAAATTTAATATTACAAGACATATTAAACACAAAAATAAAAGAATAAAAAAAAACGACCACAACGGGGGGGAAGCAACTGGTTTCGCTCCTGCTCTTCAGGCTTCAACAGGAGATTCAAGATTAATACAGAAAAATGTACAATAAGGAATTAGGAAAAAAAAAAATATATATAAGGATATGTATATATATATATATATATATATATATATATATATATATATATATATATATATATATATATATATATATATATATATATATATATACATATATGCATACACATATATAGACACACACATATAGACACACACACTTATATATATATATACACACAAATATATATACACACATATATATATATATATATACATATATATATATACACACACACACACACATATATATACACATATATATACACATATATATACGCACATATATATATATATATATATATATATATATATATATATATATATATATATATACGCACACACGTATATATATATATATATATATACACACACACATATATATATATATATATATATACATATACATATATATATTTACACGCACATATACATACACACATATATATACACACACATATATATATATACGCACAGACACATATACATATATACACATGCCCACAGACATATATATGCACACACACACACACACACACACACACACACACACACACACACACACACACACACACACATATATATATATGAAGAAATATAGTTTTAAGGTGTGCTATATTTATGGGATAAAGTACACAATATCAGAGATAGTGCGTATGTTAGACGGCCTGACGATTGTGTCTAGCATGAAACAGCCTGTCGCCTCTGAGTGTTGACTTCAAAGTTCACGTTTATATATATATATATATATATATATATATATATATATATATATATATATATCAATGCAAACTATTAAATCAACGGAAAGAGCTAATTATGAAATGTAGGCACAGGAGCAGGTTCAAACTTATATAAGAAGGTAGATCTTACCTTATTATTTACACCCCCCCAACTTCCAAAAAATACAAACCCCAAACTGATGCAACTCCTGTGATTAATACCTTCCTTTTGCATAATTACGTATGCAGCTTAGTATTCCTAATATTTTAACCATTCCCAAATGGTGTAATTGAATGGCATATACGTATATATTTGTATGTATACATATGTATGAAGAAAACTATACGGAAAAACAAACAAAAATCCTTATATACAATTATGCTGTTTTAATGTTAATATGTCAACGTCGGACGTTTCGGTCTAATAAACCATCTTCAGGACATATTCATAAAATATAATTAATCCATCTCACGCACGGTGAATACTAGACCTGGCTTCTTTAGTATTTCCCCTTTTCTAGCGAGATTAATGCTCGATAAGCGTACATATAAATTTTAGATCAAAATAGAATTCTTTTCATTTTTCATTCAAAATACTCAAATTTTAGGAATACGTTTTCACAGCGTCACCCACGTGACGACAACGTGACCATGTTTTAAACGGAGCGCTGATCTTATAAAACTTTCAGTTATCTGTTTGTTCTTATGTCCATCGTCTTTGTCATGTTGAATTGATAATGTTAATTATATTTTATGAATATGTCCTGAAGATGGTTTATTAGACCGAAACGTCCGACGTTGACATATTAACATTAAAACAGCGTAATTGTATATAAGGATTTTTGTTTGTTTTTTCCGTATATTTTTCTTCATACTGTCGGATCTATATCCATATATTTGCTTACATACATATGTATGTATATATGTGTGGGTATACATGTGCCTATGGGTACATATTTGTAGATGTATGTAAACGTACATGTGTGTATGGGTATATGTATGTGTGTTGTATCGCATGATTAATTCCATTGGATGTTTCAGTGTTACCCACGGAATTATGAATCTGTTACTCAACTAATTTATCTTAATTTTAATTTGTTTTATATTTAAATTCCCCCATCACATATTCAGAAAATTAAACCTTTGGTTCTAAAGCCTTGGATGGCAACTAGTCTAGGGGAAGGACAACTCTGAATTCAAAACCTGCGGAGGGTCGTTTGGGAACCTTGTGGCACATAGTGCACCAGGTCTCTGTATTCGGCCCTTCAAAAAGTGTGGATGGTTCTTCACAAAACCTTCACCACTATAATCAAATCTCTTGTGCTGTCAGTTTCTTAGAACTGATCTGCTTGATCTTCATACGTCGAATTCGACGGGAGAGTCGAGAGTATATATATATATATATATATATATATATATATATATATATATATATATATATATAAATTAATTGATTTAAAATATGTTTTTTTTTCTACACAGTTCCAACCATATTTCAAAAATAGAAGCTAAAACTCCGAATTAATGCTCTGTAAATTTACATTGAGCACTATTTTGTAAAAATAAAAATATCTATAAGAACACCGGATTTTATATCTTACTGTTCTTTCTTTTTATTTACACACACACACACACACACACACACACACACACACACACACACACACACACACACATATATATATATATATATATATATATATATATATATATATATAAAAAAGGCATGTCTGATTGAATAAATTACAAACATTATATCTGCTTACTTTTAACATAATCCTTTTATATTCACGAATATTTTTTCTTATATTACAATTAAATAAGGCAAGAAATGCACTGTAACAGTGAGAATCCCTTTTATTTCCCAAGTACATTCCATCTGAGCTCCTCATCAGGGGGGAAACTGGTTAGGCAAAAACTATGTGTAGTTATCCATTACCGAATTTTGTTTCTTTTGTGTTTAAATGCATCTGATGACAATTATGCTTTAACGTTCATTAGAACGGGAAAAGTTATCCATTATGGAATTTTGTCTTTTATGTTGGAATGTCATAGTCAAGTACCTATTAAAGCGTGAAAACTATTCTTTTTTTAGGCATTTTAGAACATTATTACAGTATTCGTAATTGATTCTATTCAGTGTCGGCTTCAATTTTTTAAATTTAGATTACTTCGAGGATCTGTAGTTTTAATTTGTTATTTTCTTGGTGTAGGATAGTTGTGTTATCAATCAATATTTTTCTATACTGTGAATGTGAACAGGAATGTTGGTGTAAAAGCCTCGCAATGGACGAATGATCAGACATATATAGAGTAAGACGTCTTGATAATCTAGTTGTTAAATATCCAACATATATATTTGTTTTTCTGTCGGATATACATTCTGCCAAGAGACATTTGAATTGATGGTACAGGTTAAAAGTAATTTTCTTAGTATTTTAGGTTTAATTTTTAATGGAGTGAGAGATGAATTATTATATATATTTTAAATAATAATGCCAATGGTTTCTGTAACTAGAATCTTAGTGAGCAGATTTTCAATGTCACGTGATGCTATGGTTTCATTATTAGGTTTTTCGGTTTTTAATATTTGTATAAGTTCAAGGGTTGATTTAATGCTGTGTATATATATATATATATATATATATATATATATAGGAATTATTTTCAGATAGCGTAGGTAGTCTGGGCGAGGAATTAGAGGGGAAGAAACTTGCTGAGAGTTGCAAGGGATAGACGGAAGTGGAAAGCCATGATCACTTACATTCTGAAAGGACATGGCACATAAAAAAGAATCCGTAAAGGAACAAGATGAATAAAAAGAGACAAGAGGAAAAAGTTCTTAACCAACACGTTTCGTCCTTTGAGGGACTTTATTCAAGCAATATAAAATTTATTTTGTTGCACGTGTTCATATACAAAAGCGGGGATGTCATTGGTTTGTCAAGACTTTTAAATTTGAGAACTTCTATGAATGTTCATCATAATGTTCTCAAATTGCTTAAGTCGACTTCTCGTGTATTTTTCTTGACTGATAACGTCCGTGTGTATAATTCTAATGTGTTTCTGTATCAGAGTTCTACTTGGTGTATGCGGGATTTCGTTGATAATCTGTGTGTTTGCACGTGTTTGTGTCTCTGTGTGTGCGTCTAGTGGGTATTTTATTTATGCCAAAAGTAGTCATGGACTACGTTTGACTTTTTGAATTGCACGCCTAATATCATAACAAT